TCTCTTTGACGGGGCTGAAGCACACAGAGGGGCGGGGAACAAGGGAGCGAGGCAGAAAGTCACAGGTTGCGTGAGGCCACAATGATGAAACGCAGCCTTCACAAAAGGAGAGTTTGAGTGAGAGACACAGATGGGCAGAAAGAGATGGGGAGAGAGTGACAGAGAGAGGGAGGGAAAGCTGTCGGTCTCCGCCGCCCTTCCTCCCCGCCTCCTCTGCTGTGCTGTGCTCTGGCGAAGAGAGATTACAAAAGCCCAGCCTGAGGTAGCATGTATAGACACAGTCATTACCTCTGTCCTACTAACAAATGGCACTGCTGTGTGAATGCAAACCAATGGCTTTGTGACCCTGCGAGTCCCTGCACGTCCCTGCTAGATTTGCAGAGCCTTGATTTAGCAGGAGTGGTGTAAAAGTTGATATCTTCTCAATATCTTTATAGGCCTGTTTATCATACTGATATTTTTTGTTTGTGAGATATTGACTGTTGCTGTTTTACAACACCAGGCACTGAAGCTACAAATAAATCTTTTGACGAGGGATCCTTTATTTGAGAGAAAATATTTATTCTACTGGATGGCGGTGTGCAGTGTTTTGAATTGCTTTCAAAATGGCTCCTCAGCCAGTACATAGGATCATATTTACAGTTTGTGTGTACGTGTCGTTGCGCTGGTGTCACGAGGACAATCTGTGCATTGGCATCCGGCCACAGGCAGCATGGGGTTTGAGTCGGGTCTGTCAGAACCCGCTGTCATGTCCGCCGTCACCGTGGAGATTCTTGCAAACAGCCTAGCCGAGCCTGACTGATGTCAAGATATACTTAGAATCTAATCATGCAGCAAATAGAGGCACAGGGATCCCTGCAACAGGAACTGCCTGGCTGCCCTCGCTCCAGTTAAAGCCGCTCATGGGAAACTTTTCAGCTCTGCCACTCACAGCTACTTTTCAGCTGTGTTTTTGAGTTCTGTTCATTAATCGATACCAAAGCCAGTCTGGACAACTCTTTGGTTTTCCATGCCTCATTTTTTGACACTGATGGTGTCTAGTCCGTGCTGCCTTGTGTAGATAAAAGATCTGTGTTTGAAAGATGGCTTTTGTGTTTTTTCATAGGTTTTCTTCTGTGTAGACAGCCTGCCTTTTAATATCTGTAGACTACTACCTTCTCAGATGGCAAGGATAGATGGTTGCCATTACCCCGACCGAGAGTCATGTTGTGCCATATGCTGCCTGCTTTTCCTCAAATAACATTTCTTTTTGCATCAGCCGTGAGAGAGAGAGGACGGAGCCAGCTCAGCACAGCAAGCTGCATCTGCACGAACCGCTCTCAGCTCGTCGGAATCACATCAGCAGTGCAGGACAGTTAAAGCACAAACATTTCACTCTCTTGCCTTTCTCCGCACCTAGCCCTGGTGCTTGTGGGCTGCTGTATGTGAAAATGCGATGGAAAGGCCAATGCACTCTAATTAACTTCACCTAGCATTCCGTGTGTGAACGTGTCTAACCTTTGCACAACCTTGCTTAGTCACCTCTCCTCCTAAACACTCAGGTTGAAGTTCTCATTTAATGTCAGTACACAGATTACCACCACCCCGACCCCTCACCGCTTCCCCCCACCGGCCTCCCTTTTGTCGTCTTCTTTTTTTTTTCTCAAAACCCTCTTTAGACTTCAGCAACAGATTTTTATTCAGGGCGGCCGCAGCACTTTGTGGTGGTAAATCAATAAAACAGTGTCCCCTATAACAGACCTCTGTGTTTTCCTCCTATCGATCCTGTCAGCCCAGATACATTCAAGAGCAAGCCAGTACGATTACCCTCAGCAATCCGAACTTTGATCTATACTGCAGATGACAGGTGCCAGACATCAGCTAGGGTAATTGTAATACTGAATGGGGGCATTGTTAACCACTCTTTCTTGGCCTGAATTCAGCCGCTTGTGATCAGTCTGCGGTTATAGTTGTCGTCAGTGCTGGCAGTTCACTGTCACACTTTCACCTTGCTAACACTGGAGCATAATCATGTCGTGTGTGAAACCATGCTCTACATGTAAGAGCTTCAAATTAAATGATGTTGTGCAAACAGATTCAAGTGTAACTGAGAGAAAGGCAAATTCCTCACATGTCAGGATTAAGAAAAATATAATCCCCTGTTCATTCATATTCTATCGAATTATTTACAGAAAATAATTGAAAAATCTTGATTGAAAACATCATGACTTATTATCTCTGTTTTATCTGCTGCTCAGAAGACATTCAAATCTGCTGCAAAAGGGCTCAATTGATATTTGTTTATGGGTATCAATCATGCAACTGACCAAAGTGTAAAAGTTAAAATTTGTTGCTTGAAATCTACTGAGGCATTATCGCTTTCAGAATGATTTAACTTTATCTGTTTATTTCATAATGAAGGTTAAATTACTAACTTGCATTCAACTTTAATTCATAGTCCATTAGCTTCCAGGGAGGGAAAAAAACACAAAGATGTTGGATTGTAATCAGTGTCAGTTAGTCAGCAACTCCCTATGTCGTGATTCCAGCAGCTTTAATCCTCCCCACACCTCTGCATTTTCTTAATCAAGGTTTCGATCAAGCCCCTTTGTTACCTGGAGATCGAAGTGGTAATTAAAAAAGCAAAAGGCTGTAAATGTGGATGTTTGTTCTTCCAGCTGTAGATTCCTGGGGAATTGGGGGATTGGAGAAATTATATCAGCAGGGTACCAGCCTGAGACAAAGTAAAAAGACATCGCCATCTTAAATGTGTCCCGCAGCAAAAAGCTTCAGAGAGACAAATGTTCAAGCAGCTTTCTATCACAGCTGGGGCAAAGAGGGGATGTGATTCAACAAACTTATATCACCGTATGACTCCATAGTATTACTGTAGCAGCTCTGTTAGGATAGATCCAGTATCAAATTCTCTAAATAGATCCTTCACTTTTTGGAAACAAGGATCTTTCAAATGCAAATCACTGGAGCTGTTGCATTTCCATTACTTTGCTATGCTCCCCCCTTGACCTGGTGCGCTCTGTCTAGACGGCACTGAAGTGATTCACCTTGTGACGTTGTCGTCACGTTCCCACCTGTGAATTTGTTTAATTGTATCACTGATTTTGCCTTTAGCATCTTTTTCCTTTTTGTTGAAGTGAAACATTGAGTCATCTTGAGCTCAACCTCCTGCTTTGCTCCTCAATTTGTCAGGTTTGTGCAGTTGACCCCCTTTGAGTTGTGGGTCAAAGCTATAACTCACACTCTGTGAGTTGAAGCAATCCCATCAGCGTGCCGCGGTGTCCTCATTCCTGTGTTTCCCCAGCGTCCGCCTGCTTTTGATCACTCTAACAGAAATGGATGGCATTCATACAGTGCTTAGATTAGGCTGTTTGATGAGGTACCTTGCTGGGTTCAAGAGAAATAGATGGATGGCCCTGCTTGTGCATCCACTTGTCTAACAGGAGGTGAACATTTTGATCCCAGACATACCATCAGGTGTGATTGCTTGTTTCAAAACCTTGTCCTGATGATGAGATGTTTAATACTTGATCAGGCAGCAATGTGAACAATCTTATACGAGATCTCTTTAGCAATCAATTGAATGTATGCTGGGTTTTTGATGATTACGATGAAAAATGTTAGTGCAGACAGAGACATTACTTCCTACAATTACTTTCCTGAGTTTCTGTGCTTGTGTGAAACAAGACTGAAGGTGTGCTCAGGGAGAAAGCGATGTGAATCTTCACCTTGCACCATTTTTGTGAATGTGACCAAACTGCCCCGAGCAGCCAGTGTACTGCACCAACTGTACAGACGTTAGCCGTGAGCTTAGCCAGCAACAGGCACACGGCGACTGTGTCGGCGGGAGTGTTTCTCTGTCGTTCTGCTCAGCATCAATTCGCTAGAGACTCCACGTTATTTCTGTAATTTCCCTCCTGCATTTCCCCTTTTTCCTCTCTTGTTTATGAAACAGAATGATAAAGCCATGCGAGACATGCAGATCTTTCAGTAAAGTTCAAACACGCAGCAATTTGCGACACCCTCAGTGAATTTGCATTTAATCACATCTTTTTATTCCCTTTGTTAGCAAATTTCACCACCTCCAAAAGTCACTTCACAGTCTGCGTGAACACTCAGTCGTCTACTTTGGCTGTAATCGACTGTGTTTGGGCACAGAGGTGATTTGAGCTAAATTTGCATTCTGGCATGTTCACATTGCAGCATACTAACTTTCACCAATTATCACTAAACACAAAGTACACCTCAATATTTAGTCATAGCCCATAAGTATTGGACACATTTTGATGTGATGATGACTCTAAATATATAATCAAGGGATCACAAAACACATATTAACAGATCAACATTTCCCTCCATAGAGTTTTGCTGTTAGCTTGGCTACAATTTCAAATGTTAAAGGGTAAGTGCAACACCTGAAGTCTATTAAGAAGTCTGTTGAACATTAAGAAAAGTGACTGAGTTGCATCTTTCTGCAGAGCTTGATTGATATATCCTTCTGTATTTCCTCATGAGATACCCACAGTTTGGTTAATTGAATGTGGAAGTTGTTTGTGATAATTAAGTGTGCTTACACTGCTTTCCGTTAGAAGAGAACACAGTGTGCAAGTTAACATGCACAACCTCTACTCACAAGTTCCTGACAAAGACTTAAGATGACAAAAAAATTAATTTGAGAGATTTATAAAAAATGAAATTAAAATCAAGGTCTTCTTTCTATCCCTTTCTGTAGCCTTCAACTGCATCCAGTGGTCGGTCTCAGTAGATGGAATTTGCTCAGTTGTCGAGCAGATAGATCAGTTTCAAGGGTGTAAGGGATGACATACAAATAAAATGGCAAATAGCACATTTCACTGTATAAGGAGGGATTTTGGACATGGCCACTTGAAAATGTGTTTTATCAGAACAGTCACCATAGCAACCAAATGTGATGCTGAACCACAATAACACCAACACATGAGAGAATGTTTTCTTAGTCTCGCTAATGCCACCTTTTCTCTTCCAAGATCCCGCAGATCAGCTACGCGTCCACCGCCCCAGAGTTGAGTGACGACAGACGCTATGACTTCTTCTCACGGGTGGTTCCTCCAGACTCGTTCCAGGCCCAGGCTATGGTGGACATCATCCGAGCCCTGGGCTGGACCTACGTCTCCACCATTGCCTCCGAGGGCAGCTACGGAGAAAAGGGAATAGAGGCCTTCACACAACTCTCTAAAGAAGCGGGTAAGGAAGTCGAAGACATCACAAAATGTGCTAATACTTTTTCATATTTTTAATCCCAAACAATTTTTTTTTAAACATGAACTTGCATTTTTGACCCAGAGAAAGGTCAGTCTTCCTTTTCACCATGAAATCGCTTTTCACAGGATGAATTATTGATCTGTTTGGCAGCTTCTGCCTTGGTTCCCCAGTGAGTTGTAGAGTGTTACTGGAAATGTAGACAGAGAAACAGCTTGTAGCAAAGATGCCACACAACAATAACGAGCATTGTCTGTACCCAAGTCATGTTTTTTTTTTTAAATGTAAGCATTTCAGCTTTTAGCTTGGTGCAACCTCAAAAGAGGGATTGTCTAAAACGTTCTAATGTAGTCTCTTTGGCCAACAGAGTGGAGAGAACGTTCTAGCAACTAGTCATGTGGGAGAGTTTTGTTTTACACTCTGCCTTCCTGCTTCATCCAGCCTCATTTTTTATTCTTCCTAGTGAGAGTGCAGGGCTCTAAGGATGTTAATGATGGTCCGTCAGCTTTATGAGCAGTCAGTTCAAACCACTCTGTTCCAGTCATGTGTGTGTGTGGGTGTAGGTGTGTGTGAGAAGCAGCAGGGATCTGCATCTTACATATTTAGTCTGTTTTAGAAAAGAACCGGGCTTCTCTGCTGAACGTCTCTACACAATTTTTCAGAGAAACCATGTGATTAAAACAGACGGAGAGAGAGAGAGACTGCATGGTCTGGGAGGCAAGCTATTAGAATCTTGTTTGTTGGGTCGTGTAATGTAACATTAATGTTGATAGTTTAAAGTAGCAGTGATCCTTGCTCAGCCCCTAACAGTTCATTGTTATGTTTAGATTTGTCTTTGGAGAGGTTATGAGGACCTTGAAGAGTACTTACAGCACAGCAGAGATTTGCATGCAGACAGGATGTTGTGGTTTCGCCTGCAACTGGGCTGAAAATTGTGCACATGCTTGACTCAACTGCTTTTTCCACATTGATGCCGTTGTTGACATGTGGTGGAACATGAGAACCAGGAGTCATTCAGGATAGATTTCAGCAATCACACTGGATGATTGCAAGAGGGCGGCTATAGCTGTGTTCAAGACTCCAATTCAAGTCTCCATCCTTTTGAGAGAATGCTACCTGGGTTTTTGAAAAATTACCCTCCATTATTCCTGATAGCACATCCATGCAACAAGTATTTGGCTGCTTCTCACCTTTACCTCTTTGGGATCCCAATCCATTTCCCATAAATCTGCAGGGAGCAATCTCTGTCTCTTCTAATAGACTAATGTGCGGAAACCTCTAATATGAGAAAAGCTAATGATATCCCACAGGCACTGATCAGATGCATGAATATTTTATATGTGTGCATTTATGTCCAATGTGATCCCTCGTAAAAACTTTAGGAAGCTGTTTGTGGTGGTGCAATTTGCATTGAGTCAGAGAGAGACAGAAAGAGAGAGAGAGGGAATATTGCGTGTATGGGAACAAAAAATAAACGTCTTGCTTTAAGGCTCATATTGGAAGTTTCGTTTCATCTCATATCCTGTGATAAATGCAGTTTCCTCCAGCTGGTTTTCTCAGATATTTTTTAGTTTTTTTTCTATCGCAAAAAAGACGTAAACATTCTGACTCCTGCATAGCTGTGAGGAGAATGGAATTATAAGCCACTGTTGTTGTCGACTCATCCTGTTGCTTCCGAGCTGCAGTCACTTTGCAATATTTTGTATTCATATACAAATGGGAATTATGCCCTCTACAGAAAAGCTTCCAGTACCCAAGCAATCTTATCGTTAATAAACACATTAATTATGTAATAGCGCGACTATACATTCACAGGATTCACTCAGAGGCAGCCGTTCTGCACCAGAACTGACTGAGGTGGATTGAATTGAGGAGGCAAACATCTTAGTGAATATGAAAAGGAATATCTGGAAAACACTGTAAGTGTTATAAGTAAAACGATCATTTTTAAGAAATTGCTAAACTGCAGAGTAACACTTTTGGGTGGATGTTGTTGCAGCATCCCAGCAACTTGATCAGTGAGACCTTGAGACGGTTTTCATGGCTGCCTTGTTTGGTTGCAGTGAAATGTCAGATGCATTAGTAGGATTCTCGCTTCACCACTTCAAGGAGAACCTTCCAGAGGACTAATGCAATATGGCTGCCCATTACACAGAGCTGAGACTGGAGTGATGGTCAGCCTGTATTGATCTCTTCTGTTCTCTCTATTCTTTTTTTCGCTCTGCATTCTCTCTCCTGTTTAGGCACTGTTCCATTGCGTACCTTCATCCTGGCTGCAGGTGAAGCTGGCAGAGATTAATCTTGTTTGTATTTTTCTGTGTCTGTCTGGACTCAAGCCAGAACGATTGAGTTCAGTTTTCCCATTTGATAAAAAGACCTGCATTTGAGGAAAACCTCCCACAGAATTTCCCTGCGGAATTGATTGCAGCGAGTTGCCAACACGATGCTTGCTCACATCAGATCTGAGCTGCGTGAGGGGAAAAAATATCCAGCAAAAGTGAGCCACTCATATTCAGCAGTAGGTATGGACAGGGGGAAGAACCTGATGCATCTGAAAATGGCATAAAATACACCATTACATGATCCCTTAACATTTGACAAGTCCCAGAACAGCAGGGGAAAGGAATGCAGGGCACATATATGCCAAATATGAATGTCAGTTGCGTGTCAGTGCGTTTTGATGTGCTCCCACGTGTTCAGGTGGGGAGACTGGAGGGAGTAGGTTTGCCTTTTGACTGTCAAGGTGATAAATATAATTGCAGTGTTGTGGGTCCCCTAGAGGTCTGGGTTTGCAGGGTGTTGAGTAGGCGGGAGCGGAGTCCAATCCAGTTGAATCCAGAGCTTCTAAAATTAAAGGCTTTTGTATTTCACTAAGCTAAATTGCAATGATAGATTCCTCGCCCTGCAGTGCATTTTCAGAACCAAGGGCACAGAGGATGAATAATTAAAGCAGTTAATGCAGTGCATGACCTACTGCACTTAGACAGATAAGTGGAGAACTTCCAAGACCTGAGGAATTTAGCCATCATGATCATTAAGCTCCCATTGATATATTAATCAAATATGGAGCAGAGGGTAGAGGTTATGATGTTTAAACCTTTTATATTATTTTTAGAATTATCAGGTAAATTAATAGGGTGCAGCTAAAATATCAGCATGTCTTACTTCTATTGTCAGTAGAAATGTCATATTTTCAGTGTTTTAGATGGATTTTAAACAAGCGTACATCTCATCCTCACAGTGTCTTAGTGACAGCTGGACAGTACAGTGTTAGTATAGAAAACTTTAACAAGTTGTAATAAAACACTCTCTTCTCCCAGAGCCTGACATTTATCTGTCCCCCATCACACATCTCCAAGACAGTCACGCGGCTCCTCTTTAAGCCCATAGTTTGAATCAATGACTCTTTCAAGCCCTCACATTGCCTTCCAGTGGCAGGTGAAGCCTGTTCGACCCACAGCACAATGCACTGCAAGCACATGACACAGTACTTGCATTTCCATCATGCCTGCCTCTTCAACTAAAGGACAGACTGACCATCTGACTGACTGACAGAGGAGGTATTCTGCAGGCATTCAATAATTTAGCCACCACTGCACAACCACCGGTCCGCAGCCTTTAGGGCAGTCGAAAGTCAGCAGCCCGTTCAGCTGTGGTGCTCTTTTTCTCTGTAGATGAAATCTGCTCCAAGCGCTTCTTATCTTCATCAGTGGCTTGTGTGGTCGCTTCCTCTATTATTCACTGTTGTGATGTACAATACATCTCTGTTCAAGACTTGTACCATTGTTGCTCCTCACACAAAGTTTTTGTCATAATGGAGATAATGGAAATAATAAATTTTTCTCCTACTGTGTGTGTCTGTGTGTGTGTGTGTGTGTGTGTGTGTGTGTGTGTGTGTGAGTTATACCTACCTGCAGACATACTATTCCCCCTAGAGCTGAAAGCTGCTGCTCATACACCAGAATCAGATGTTAAGCAGTGGAAGTGCAGTGTCATATAGTTGGATTTATGGCTGAAATCAACTGAATCTCTGCTCTGAATCCCAGCTCTAGTGTCGTCCCTTGGAGACCTAACAATAGAGGCTGCGCTGCACAAATGACACCAAGCACGTCTCACTTTAACAGGATGCCACAAGCACCCTGAGCAAAAGCCAGACCATTGGCAGCATCTCCATTGGTACATGTGGTCCATTTAAGCAGGAGAACAGCAGCCATCCGAGAGTATTTTTCTTGCATCAACAAACATCACTAATCCTGCCTGCTGATAAAATAATAGTGTGTTGTTAAGATGCGGTTCAGGAGTCCTTGTTTTGCTATCTTCTGCCTTTAGAAATGCCACAGTAAACTGTGACTGGAGATGTGTGATCTGGCAGCTAAAAGCTGTTTATATCAAAGTAATGAGCCTGAGGAGAACGGCAATTAGGAGATTCCTTCCATTTCTCTGTCTACTCTGGGAAATTCAAACTGAAAGGTTATTGGGTATGCTATTAAAATGCTTGAGTGGGAGAAATTTTAATTGGTTTTTTTGTGTAAAGTTTTGTTGTTGACTCAGGACACAGGCTGCTGCCTCGGTTTAGGCCTACAGTAGTTAGGATGTTCTCTCACACAGGTGATCGTATCTGTTTATCCAAAGTGCTTTAAAGGTTAGCGTGTACTTAGCGTATTATTTTGCTTCTCTATCTGATAATGAGCTATGGAATATAACCCAGAGGACAGCCATAGCTAACAATTTAGAAACTTGCAATTATACCCCATGCTTAATACAGTATGTAGCAACTATTTAGCAACACATGGAAACAGTCGGTACCCTCAATCCTGTTAAAACTCATTAGTGGTGACCTGTCTGAGAGTGATTTATTGTCAGTATTAATATCCTCTTTGTTTGTTATTGCCGGCTGTGCTATCTGATTAGCTCACGGTTTAACAAGAGATGTTTGATAATGACTTTAAATGAAAAGTCAATGAAAAGCTGCTGGATTTTCACCAATCCATAATATACAATCTGTAGCTTTACGTCCCTGTTGGTGTGGATTATTGGATTTGCTATAGCAGATATGTTTATAACTCCCTCACTCTGTGAAATGATGCCGGTGCTCAGTCGGGGAGGCGCAGTCTGAGTGTTGTATTGCATGCTGCTGTGGTTTGCCGATCATTGCCAAAATGTAAATGTATACACTACAAGGCTATCATTTAGACTGTACAGCGAGCATGACAGCATCAAAACCTCTTTATTGTTCAGATGTGTTTTTCATTTCATTTTGACCTCAGGCTTTGTGTGTGTGTGTGTGTGTGTGTGTGTGTGTGTGTGTGTGTGTGTGTGTGTGTGTGTGTGTNTGTGTGTGTGTGTGTGCGTGCGTGCGTGCGTGCGTGCGTGCGTGCGTGCGTATCTGTGTGTGAGAGTGAGTGAAAGGATGAGATCATCCCAGAGGCCTAATCATTTCCTACTCTTTCCCCATTAAAAGGTGGAATCTGTGTTGCGCAGTCTTTGAAAATACCCCACAACCCCAAGCTGGAGGATTATGACAAAGCCATCCAACAACTGCTGGAAACGCAGCACTCGCGGGCAGTCGTCATCTTTGCCAGTGAAGAAGACATACGGTGAGGAGCACAGCACATTGTGCCTTCATCCATGTCGCTCAGGCGTGTTGATGACTTGCCATGTTGGGGTCTTTAATCTCCGAGTCGCAGCTCCTGAAGACAGGCTAGAGGCAGAGATTTACCAATGCGCACAGGACGTCTGCTACACAAATACACCTCCAACAACTCTAACACAAGCACGCCTCTGAGGAAAAGAGGGAATAGGGATCGCAACAAAGCAGCAGAGATATTGTTGCATTTACAAAGCCCTGTGGGGAATGTTTATGTAAAGAAACACAAAATCAAACATTTAGTACCTGTAAAGTCAGACTGAAGGATCTAGAAGTGCATATGCCAGTGAAATTCAAAAAAAGTATATGGGGATCAATGAATTTAACTCCTATTCCCTGTTATTTTTAAATGAGATGTAAAAACAACATCTTTTCTCAACACACAACAAAACATAAGCTAGTTCATACAAAATAACAATAGTTTCTTTCTTTTTCACCTTGGATGTGAAGAATGAATGAAGAACAGGACATGACAGAGCTGTAATGTCCAAACAGCACCTTAAAGCCAGCTGTTCCTTTGCGTAATAGGCATTAGATTGCACGCACCTCATGTGCTCCCTCCTAATTCACATGGATGTCCTTGCAGGGGGGTTCTCAATGCCACCAAGAGGGCCAATCAGGTGGGCCATTTCCTGTGGATTGGATCCGACAGCTGGGGAGCCAAGAGCAGTCCCATCCACCAGCTTGAAGATGTGGCGGTTGGAGCAGTCACTATACTGCCCAAGCGCTCCTCCATTAAAGGTACAAACGCTTACACACACACACACACACACACACACACACACACACACACACACACACTTATATTGTTTTTCAGTAGGATTATGCAAAATCTACTCAATGGATTTTCACAAAAGTCGATGGAAGGATGGGACGTGGGCCGTAAAACAACTCATTATATTTTGCTGCAGACCCAGTAATTTTTTTTCACTTTCTTTAAAAAATATTTTTTATTTGTTTAGGGCCAAATCATAATATGCGTTATCTCAAGGCACTTTACAGAGAAGGTCAAGACCTTCAAAATGATAGAGAAACACAGTTGCCACAATGAGCAGCACTTTGGAAAGAAGAGTGTGGAAAGAAAAATCTCCCTCATTAACTGGAGGAAACCTCGAGCAGAACCAGACTCAATGTGGGCGGCCATCTGCCTCAACCAGTTGGGGTGAGCAGAGAAAAATGGGGAGGAGAGAGGAGATGGGTGAAAAAGAGTGGAGAGAGAGAGGGGAGGGGGGTCTGGTATGTTTAGGAGAATGATATGTGTGTAATTTGGTGCAGATGCAAAAAAATTCCAGATCTATTGAATTTAAATTAAAATTTCATAAGGGGGGGACTGCTGGCCGACGGGAGAGATTTCTGCTCTACTGAGTGCCATTCTGTTATTGTATTGTGTAATAATAAGAGTAATAAACTTAATTCTTATAGCATTTTTGTCGTCGCTCGTAAAGTGGTTATATGGAGAAGAAATAAACAGGAAAGTTAAGATAAAGGATAAACCCAGTGTAAGAATAATACAGCCACTATAATTAGTTTAACTTTATGTAATTAAATGACTCTGAAGTTATTTGGTTTATTCACTCTGACTCGACATGATAGATAACACTTTATTAAATGTGACCCTTTACTTTGAACTTTGTGGTTTTAAAGTAATTTCAGGAGAATAACACAAACACAACCTTGGATTGTATTATGTCAAACATTAAGACTGTGTTTTTGGTTTTCAGCTGACCTGTCTGTACAATGTGAGATTAGACTTAAATTTAATTGATCTAAATTATCACCAACCAGTAGTTGGTGTAAGTTAATATCGAGGGTGATATTTTGACAGAAGACAGAACACAATATCCCAGAGAACTATGTTACAATCAGTTATGTCAGACAGCAGTAAACTACCTTTGGTTCTCACAAGACACCAGATCAGCAGGGTAAGTGCTGCAGCCAGCAGTACGACAGGAGCCACAAGGATGGCGATGTGGTGAAAGGAAAAGACACTGGAATTTCCATGGTTTTCGAATATTGTTGTATTAGTCGGCAGAGGAGAAACTGTGGGAGATGATGAGAATACATACTCATGTCTTTGTGTAGAAATAAAATCTCTTTAAACATCTACAGCAATGGCAATTTAATGCCACAATTTGAGTGAGAACCACTTTTTAAATTACATACAAAGTCGTCCTTACAAAGTGATGACGCAAACACTTTTGCAGACATATGAGTCTTTAACCAGCAGTGACAGTAACACTGTGCCAACAATGAGGAAGTGTCGGAGCTCCAGTCATTATCCTTTTTTTTGTTGTCAACTAATTCAATTCAAAGTCTCAAACTACGAATGAAAACTAAAAATATATAATAACATATCTTTGAAAGTCCTGCCTTGATTTGTCTCACCCAGTGTGACAACACTGTAGTTCTATAGCACAGAGAAATAAGTTATATCAGGATTAGTTGTTGGAAAAAATTGATCGCAGGATCATTTCTTTGGTTTGGTATTGCCATATTAGTTCAAATTAGAAAAATACAGTATGTGTATGACCAGGCTTTTCCTTTAAACGATATAATGGCAGGATCTGGTCATTCATTGTAGGATGAAAATATTCCCCTGTGTTAGGGGACATTTCCTTCTGTTAACATATGGTGATGTGCAAACTGCAGTAAATGAGAATGAGGTTGTT